TCACGAAGAAAGTCGACCCACTGCTGCTCTATTTCGAGGCCCCAACTCTCAAACCTTGAACTGGTCAAACTAGCAGGTGCATATAATGGATAAAGTGAAGATAGCATATGTCACAGTGAAAAGGCTCATTTGTGGCGGGTGATCTCAGAATGTGTTTGGCATGGCACTTAAAACTCTGCCTGGGTTGTTGCAAATATAACAGAAATGTGCCTGGCCAATCAGGATGCAGGTGGTTAAGGCAGGGGGATTTGGGGAGAAGTATGATGACGAGACAGCTTCAGATATCACCATGCTGACATGCATGCCGAGGGCTGCACGAAAACATGGAGATGCGGTCGGCCACAGACTACTGATGCCGCACTCTTGGATGGTGCGTGGCTAAATCTCACATTTTTTAAACAAAGCAGGTAGACAGCACATGACTCAATATCACAAAACAGAACTCAATTACCAAGCAGAATATCAAAGAAATTAACTGAATTTGGATATTTGCCATTTTAGTAGTATTCCAAGGTACCTTGCACACATAACGAATCCTGTACTATTTACAATTCCAGCTGAAGGTAAGATGGTCAGGAAAGGCATAACTGCAGCCCAATACACTATTCGCTCATGAAGATGGAAATGACTTTTTTGGGTCACCATGTGACCCCCAGAGACTGTCAAAAATTTCATATCCAGAACCACCATTCTGATGAGCTAACTGGATGATTTGTGGGCTTGGATGCCTGAATGAGCTAATGGAACAATTGACACCCCAAAAGACCCCGGTCGTCTTGTAAAAAAACCTGCTCCGATCATGGATGTAGAGAGATAGACCTCGCAAGCATGCCACTCTATAGAAATGTGCTGTGAACATACAGGACTAGGAACACAAGGCAGGAATCTTATTAGGAAGACATTTCATGCGCTGCACAGAAGAAAAAAATGAATAAAAGTCCAGACAAGCAAGAATGCGAAAAAGAAAACAGAGAGCATGGTTCATCAGTAAGAAAAAATAAAGCAGGCATTTGTTTCTGCCCTCTAAGCTATACTAGGGATACAAGCTGCCATCTCCCATAATTCCCAGCTTCATCAATATGCACTGTGTGGCACTGTGGAGCCCACATGGACCAGAGGGGGGGGGGGGGGGGGGGGGGGGGGGGGGGTCAACTTGGCTGCAAATCCAGTACCAATCATGGGGGTTATGGTACGGAAGCTGTGGTGAATGACAGGCTTAAGTCAGCACTTTTGATGCGGCTGCTGCAAGGAGGAGACGCTGAGAAACATCCGGAAGAGCCAGTAGACAGTCCCTATAAGCTGAGGTTTACTGCATGTCCCCGAAGGACAGGGCTTAATGAGGTCGCGGCGGTGCTCCAGTCCCGTCAGCCGAAACCACGTTCCCAAAATTATACGACAACAAAGGGAAACCACCACAGGAAGTTGAGCCCACTGGGTTGGGTTGGTGTTTACACAGTTTACAAGTGAGAACACAGCTTAGTATAACTACATAGCATGGAAACCACTGAACGACAATAAATGTGTGAACAGTCCATTTCCAAAAGGATAAACGGTGCTGCCCAACAGCCCTGCGGTGGGTTGCACCAGCTAAGGGGAATTTTAATTTGAGTTTACTATGGACATAAACTGCCCCTACATGCATGAGTTTATGCACTACTAAAAAATAATCGGTTGCACCACGCAAATAGTTTCAACACAGCACTAAGTTATAACGTAAATTTTACACTACCCTTAACATTAGGTGTAATGTCCATCATAACAAAAAATAATGTTTAAAATGGCACAGATGAAACTAACCGAACAAAACTTTTTTGTTTTTAATAGTATAATGTAATCAGAGATAATTTTAATAATTTGTTACTGTTGATTTAGGACAAAACCAGGTCGCTGGCTTAGTCTAGTCAGCTAATGTTGGCTGGAAAGCTAGAGAAATACGTTGCCTTGCCATTGTTTGTTTCGCGTGAACCCTGTTCGTATTTCTCGAGCAACAAACATCTCATGTAGCAGAACGACTGTTAAGCACCTACAATAAATGTCTAACTGTACCACAAATTTGATAGACATACTAGCTAGTGGTATAACAGACCCTGGTTGATCCGTACAGATCCCCACCCCCATGAGTGAACTGCGGATTAACTGCAAAGTTTAACCTTGATAGTGCAAAATAGTTTTATTGCCGCCTGTCACTTCATAAATGTAAAATCATTTCTCACAGCAAGAGAGAATCCCCCACTTATGTGTAGGACAAAGGGAATTTTAGATTTTCTGTGAGAACACAACAAAAACTGCAATGGCATGCTAGCCATGGCATTTTTATTTCGTAGAGATCTGATATTCGGTATCGGCACCTACCCAGACCTATTTGACGGATCAGGTATTGGCCATATGCGACTGATCCACGTCAGGTACTAAGTAAATTTTTGGCAGTCTCTAAAAAGATAGCTCCTATTTCAAGTTAAATATGTTTGTTCGATCAATCGCACGACAGCTCTTTCCCATTTTAAATGTGTTTTTGTGGCATTCAAGCTGAACGCTAACGCCGCTACTCAGTCTTTCTGCTACTCAGTGGGTGTGAGCGCAGTGACTTCCGCCTGCTGTGACATCATGCGCATACCCTTTGCAGTAAGAGGTGCGTAAGAACATCAGGTAAGAATGTGACAATCTGAAAGTATTATCCACTTTTAACAGCAACTAGGAACGCAGCGATTTGCAGTCTTTGTGAGAACAAAGTTTTGGGAGGTGGGAGTAGCGTTTAGTGGAAAATCCCACTAAACGAAGCACATGCGATTATGCAAGTCAACGCAAGTAATATGAAAAAAGCAGTGGATGGTTTGAGAGTCGCTAACTTGGGCTGTTTTGCACACTTGCTACAACTTGTGATACAGGAGGGGCTGCTATCGCAGTGAAGAGTAAGTGATGCCAGTGGGAGAAACATTGTGGGGCATTTTAAACATTTGACATTTGCATATCCTCACTTGGAAGATATTTAAAATGAACTGCAAATGCATCAATAACGCTTAAAACAAGACATTCAAACGAGGTGGAACAGTATGTTGTGAATTTTTCTAGTAGCCTAGTTGAAGATTTTTTTTCATCTATATTTACTTCTTTTAAAAAAATAAAAAATAAAAAAAGAATATATATATATATATATATATATAAATAAATAAAATACTACTATATTATTTATTTATATAAAAATATTAAAGTAAAAAGCTCTTGTATTGGAATCTGTATCAGTATTGGCAGTT